GAGCCAGGATTGAAACCCGGGCAGGTGCCTCCAGGGCCTCTCCATGCAATTTTTGCGTTCTTCCTTTGGAGATCAGAATTCATGGGTATGTGTATAATTGGTTATATTCATTTGGACTAAGTCTTTACCAAGTTGGATAGATTCTGCCCATTAGATAAGAAAAATAAATGAATGACACTTGAAATAGTAATACTAATATTTATTGAGCACTTACTATGTGCCAATCTTTTCATGAATTTACTCACTCTGTCCTCACAACAACCCCATGAGGTGGGTAGTATCACTATCCTCACTTTATGGATGGGGAGACTGAGGCACCAAACCAAAACCAAACCCATTGCTGTCAGGTCAATTCCAACGCATAGTGACCCTATAGGACACAGTAGAACTGCCCCACAGGGTTTTCAAGGGGCGGCTGGTGGATTCAAACTACCGACCTTTTGGTTAGCAGGCGAGCTCTTAACCACTGTGCCACCAGGGCTCCAGCTGAGGCACAAGGAGGTTAAATGATCAGTTCCACGTTGCCAGGACATCATGCTTGGTAAAGTAGAAGGTCAGCGAAACAGAGGAAGACCTTCAGCTAGATGGATTGACACAGTGGCTGCAATAATGGGCCCAAGCATAGCAATGATCGTGAGGATGGTGGAGGACGGGGCAGTGTTTCGTTCTGTTGTACCCAGGGTCGCTATGAGTTGCAGCAGACTCGACCGCACCTAACAATGACAACCCACGTTGCCAGGCTGGCCAGATCTAAACGTTACCACTAGGCAGTAGATCTTGTTGCCTGAAATCAGGGGACCCACCCTTGCCACTGAGGAACACACACAACCCCTGTCACTGCTGGTGCACATACCCAGAATACTCCTTAGAGCGCAGGGGTCTTAACAGCGCCAGCTCAGGGCTCGCACCGATCTGAGTTCCAGGTCTAGTTCTGTGTGGCCTCAGGCAAGTCACTCAACCTCCCTGATCCTCAGTTTTCCCATTTGTCAAGTGGGAGCAATCGTGGTACCTACTTCCCAAGTGTGGAGAGGACCTGCTAAGTCAATGGAGACAACATGTCCTGTTTGGGGTTCGGAACAGGTTGGGTACCCCACGATGGTCGGCCCGCTTGGTGATGGGCTTTGGATCCAGGTTTCCAGTCTGCACCTGAGCAGCTCTGATTTGCGCAAGGACCTTCAGCTCTTGGTTTCCTCATCTATAAAATGGGGATGATAAACTTCTCTAGAGGATCTTTGAAAGGGCAGATAAAAGGCTTAGTGCCAGGGACACAGCAGTAACAAGGACAGACCAGAGCTCACGCTCACAGAACAGGGTTCTCACTCCAGTTTAGGGTGAGGATGCCGATAAACCAAAAAGCCAAACCTGTCGCCGTTGAGTCGATTCCGGCTCATAGCAGCCCGCTGGAACAGAGAAGAACTGTCCCATGGGGTTTCCAAGGAGCAGCTGGTGGATTCAAACCGCCGAGCTTTTGGTCAGCAGCCTGAGCTATTAATCACGGCGCCACAGGGTGAGGATGATGAGGGCAATGATGATAGGTAGCTTTTTCTTTTCCTGATCACTTGCTGTGCGTCAGACTTTGCTCTAAATGTTTTACATGGATAATCACCCCAACCTTCCTCAGAGATGAATACTATCACCCTTTTACAGAAGCAGAAACTGAGCCACAGAGAGGGTAAGTCATTTGCCCAATATCACACAGCTGGAAAGTGGCTGAACCAGACTCCCAGCCCTGCTGGTTAGTGCTCCAGCGTCAGTTCTTTGAGGGAAGAGAGGAGGCTTGGCTAAGAGCTGGCCAGGTGCACCCGCCTTGCGCCCTGCTCCGCCATCACCCCTCCCCAGTGCTGCATAAACATCGGGGTTATCATTAACCAGGGGCTGCTGGTGACCCTGGGGTGCAGGGCCAATGGAGGCAGGGATGAGAGTTCAGACAGGCAGCGATGAGGGAGTCTCTCCAAGCCGCTGGAGTCCTCTGAGGCAATGCCTGGGCCTGAGCGTGAGTGCGTCTACCTGTTCCTCACTCCATGTTCGGCAGAATGTGTCGTCCTGGCCCCGGCCCCGTGTCTGACTTTCAGGAAGGGGGCACTTCTGCCCTTAACCACAGGGGAACCTTGGGGAAACTAGCTCCTCTTTGCTAAACCTTGATTTTCTCAGCTCCCAAATGAGTTAACAGGGGTGCATGTCTGTCAGGTTCAGGGATCTCTGAGCCCCGCGGTGCGGTACACATGTGACCTTGGTGATGTCTCCATTTTATGGGAGGGGAAACTGAGGCACGGAGCGGTCACATGGTCTGCCCAGGGTCACACGACCAGGAGTGGCAGAGCCTGGACCTGATCCTAGGTTTCTCAGCACCTGTGAATCGGGCCTCCCATAAGGACACCAGGAGTGTTGTCCTCCAGGGGGTCACAGAGGCCACGGAAGCTCAGGGAAAGGCAGGTTTGCGGTAAACACATCCACACATGTTGGTGGCGGCCATAGTTTTGGCAGGGTGCCGGATGGAGCCTGAGCGCGTCAACACGAGTGTGGGCCTGTATGTCTGTGTGATTTTGTGGCCCATGCGTGAGGGTATGAACACAAGCGTGTGCCTCTGTTTTTGTGGTTATGTGGAAGAGTGGCCGGTTGTATGCGATGCCCTTGATAGTATTTCAGCCCGTGTATCTGCTTTCGTGTGTGCCCATGTAAACCTGGGGTGTGTGTGTGTGTGTGTGTGTGTGTGTGTGTGCTAGTCTTCACCTCCTTGAGGTTGTGTAGGAGTGCTGCCCGTGTGTCTGAATCTTTGAGTGTATTTGTGCGGGTGTGCGCACTGGTGCCAATGTATGGCCATTTGTGAGTGTGTGTTCACAAAGGCGTGTGTCTTCATGACTGCGAGAGTGGAGAGTTGTTTGGCTGTGACTCCGTGACCCTGCGTGCGCATCCATCTGAGGGAGTACGCGTATATGTGTGTGTGGTGTTCACAGATGTGTTTGTCTCCGTGCTTTGTAACCGGTGTAGGAGGTGCTGGCTGTGAGTCTGGGTCTTTGCGTTTCTGTCTGGGTGTGTGTATGGTGTCTGCCCCTGGAGGGGGCTCACAGCCAGCAGCAGACAGCACACACACTCCAATCCCCCGAAAGCAGTCCTCTGGTGGTGTTGAGGGCTCCAAAGAACTTTGAGGTCAGGGAGCAGTGGGCTCCTAAGTCCTCAGACTAGGCGACCTTAGGCCCTAACTGGGCCTGGTTCCCAGGGAGCACTGCAGAAAATCATAGACACCCCCTCCACTCCACCGCAGCCCAGAAGCTCTCTAAGTTGGGCGAGAGGTGCGTGTGTGTGTGTGTGTGTGTGCATGTGTGTGTGTGTGTGTGTGTGTGTGTGTGTGTACGTGAGCACAGTCCATGTCTCTGCAGTCCTCTCGGTCAGCAGCCTCCTCTTCCTGGCTTTCCCAGAACACTGCCCGCTGTTCCTCCATCTGAGCAGAGAGAGTTAACCTAGCGGGCCAGGGCGGTCTGGGCTGGGGGCCGCCCCCTGGCCCCCCTCCAGCCCCGGCTCCAGTTACATCTGCTGGTTGGGGAGGGCAAGGGCAGGGTGGGGCTGTGAGGGGAGATCCTGGGGGCAGCGCGTCCAGCTCTGGGCCAGGGGATCCAAAGTGCTCGACCCCAGACACAGGCAGGCATAGCTGGCTGTGCGGGGGGCTTCTGTCAGCGGGGGACAGCCTGATTGGGGTGAGAGCCCCCCACCCCGCTCCTCTAGGCCTCACCCCTTGCCTGGTTGGGCTGCCTATTTTGGGAGTAGGAGCAGCCAGCCTGTGGCTTCCCAGGCAGGCCAGACCCAAGAGGGAAGGAGAATGTGGTTGGGACATGGGGGTTCCCTCTGGGGAGGGAGTGTGGGCGTGACTCCTCCCTTCCCTGCTGCTGCGTGTGCACCCCGGCTAGGTGTGGGCTTTGGGCACTCACATGTGTGGCTCAGCTGCGTCACTGGGGGTGCCGGAGCCCAGATGAGTGTTTCAAGCAGAAGTTTTGGGAGAGGGTGGTGCCTCCATTCCAGCTCCGCTGTGCTCTGTCCCCCGGGGCTGTTGGCCTGGGCCTCATGCCACCCCGCCTGGCGTTGTCTGGTTGCGAAAGAGCCAGGTGGCGGGGTGTTCTCCTTTTTCATCACTGCCAGGAGAGGAGAGGGGTGGCCCTTCCCATGGGGGGCAGCCCGTGGTGCCCAGGCAGCCAGGCCTCGCCCCAGCAGGCTTGTGTCTGACCCCCGGGTGGGGGAAGGAAGGCTGTTGCCATGGTGGCCCGTACGAGGCGAATTCCTCCAGGGTGAAGTGGGAGATATTTATACCCAGGGTCAGGCGCAGAGAAGACAGCAGCAGAGGGCAAGGAGACCTGGGATTTCACGGGGCACAGCAAGCAGGTGGGCCCCTGAGTATGTTCCGCTGTCTCACCTGTGTGTGGTGGGACAGTCCCTGCTAGGGTGGGTTTCAGGAATCTGGGGCCTGCTGTGGGGAGGTCAAGGCCTCCAAGAGACCCGAGTGGGCTGTATGTGTTTCACGCCTGCCCTTGTGTTCTCTTGTCATGTGACACCCCCATTGTGTGGGTTGTTTTGGTGACACCATGTCCCCATGAAGGAGGGGTGCCCTTGTTTCTAGGGGCAACCAAGCTGGATGATTTTTGTGGGATTAAGTCCTGGGACTGCCTCGGAATTAATCCTTTGGGTTCAGGCCCCAGTGGGGGCGAGGGTTGAGGGTACACATTCACTGACCCTCGATGTCTCTCCAGGACAATGACATCTCTCAGCCACATCATCTTTGTTCTCTGTGTGGGTCTCCTTACCATGGCCAATGCAGGTGAGTCTGGGAGAGGCACCTTACCACCTACCTCAGCCCCAAGGGTGGCCAGGGAAGGGAAGCTCCACAAGGTAACCGAGGTGGGAGACCCCAACCTAAACCAAGTCAATTGGGGCACTAATAAGTCGGGAGTCACCACATGGGGTCCAGTCACAGGCTGGCATTCGAGGGAGGGGAGAAGATGCCCCAGATAAGGCAAAGACAGGAGGGGAGTGGTGCTGGAGGCTGGCTTCTTGGTTGAACATTGGAATCATACCAAAAAACCAAATACGTTGCTGTCGAGCAGATTCCGACTCCCAGCGACCCTATAGGACAGAGTAGAACCGCCCATAGGGTTTCCAAGGAGCGGCTGGTGGATTTGAACTGCCGACCTTTCGGTTAGCAGCTGAACGCTTAACCACTGCGCCACCAGGGCCCCGTTGGAATTATAGACGGCCTGTAATGAGCCCAGGACAGGCAGAGGGGGCAGCTAGGACCCAGAGAGGGTGGGCAGCCAGTCCAGGGTCCAACAGCCCCCAAACTCCTAGCCCAGAAAGGTGGGACCCTGAAAAGGCTCCAGGAAGTATCCAACCCCTCATGTGTCTCTCTCTTCCCAGAAGCTCCGCAGGAACATGATCCATTCACCTACGGTGAGGAGCGTCTGTCTGTGGGGGCCTTGGGGGAGGGCTGGGTCTGCCTGTCCTGCCCCTTTTATTCCCTCTCTCTTTTTCTCTCACTGTTTATATCCCAGTCCCTCCTCTCTCTCTCTCATACCCTGGCTCTCTGACTCCTTCAGTCTTGATCCCCCGGTCTGTTTCTGCCTTTTTCTGTGTGCCTCAGTCTTTCTATCCATCCCTCTGTCTCTGCTTGAAAACCCTGGTGGCCCCGTGGTTAAGAGCTCGTGGTTTGGCTGCTCACCAAAAGGTCGGCAGTTGGAATCCACCAGGCGCTCCTTGGGAACCTTCGGGGCAGTTCTACTCTGTCCTAGAGGGTCGCTATCAGTCAGAATCGACTTGACAGCAATGGGTTTGGTTTTTTTGCGGCCCCTCTGCTAGTCTCTCTCCTTTCGCCGATCTCTATCCGCGTCTCAGGGCCCCTCCTCTGCTGCCGCCCCCTCTTCCTGCCCTCCCTGTTCCCCCATGCCCTCCCTCCTGCCCCTCTCCTGCACGGCTTCCTCCGTCTCGCCCTCCTCCTCCCTCCTCGCGCTTCTCTCCCCTTCCCTCCTTCTTGTCTCCCTGAGCGCCCTCCTCTCCTCTCTCCTCCTTCCCTTCTTCCTCTTCATGCTCTCTGATCTCCTCCCCCACCTCGCATCCTTCGTCCCCGCCTCCCTCCTCATTCTGCCCTTCTCCTCTTCCTCGTCCCCTCCCCGCCCTCGCCCTCCTCCCCTCTGCCCGCAGACTACCAATCCCTGCGGATCGGAGGCCTCATCATCGCGGGCATCCTCTTCATCCTGGGCATCCTCATCATCCTCAGTGAGTCCCCCCGCCCC